ACAAGATTGCACAAAGTCTCCCTAACATTAGCGCACTAAGTCTAAGGTTGCATAAGGCTACTTACAAGATTGCACAAAGTCTCCCTAACATTAGCACAATCTAAGGTTGCATACGGTTACTTACAAGAATGCACATATTCTCCCTAACATTAGCTGCCTACTGTACTAACAACGCATGACATGACTGACCTTGGCCTGTGGTTTCCATTCGAGAAGCAACATTGACTGTGTCACCAAATAGACAAAACCGTGGCATGTGGATCCCAACAACAGCCGACACACATGGACCTGAGAAAAGACGAGAACAAAGTAACAATTCGTGGTTCCAACTTGGACAATATCTAACCAATCACCGTTACAGCAGTTTTCCCAATGGAACTAAAAACTACACATTAATCGTTTTTAAAAGAGTACTACAAGGATTACGAGGCAATTTTCTATTCTTTTCACAGGACAGTCAACTATTGAAACAATTTATAATCAATTTTCCGCGATAATAGTTTTAAATCCTGAGATATTCTAGCTAATTTATTGAGCTTGTGGGACATAACAACGGTATCTAAGGGGAGTCGAAAACATTAATAACGCGTTACGACAAAATGCATCCATTTGTCATACGCTCTTGAAGAAATAGAAAACGCGCGTGCGTGCTGTGTGCAGTTATAAAGTACGCTGGTTTGGCAGAACACTCGAGAAGTGTTCTGCCAATCCCCAAGTGCTTAAAAACTCCACACAGCACAGCAAGCAASTTTTTTTATTTCTTTTATAAAATACATGTTTCAATAACCGTTTATTTGGATAGGAATGACGCAACTGAAAGTGCGCGCGCGTGCAATGTGCTCTCATAAAGCACGCGCTCCTAAGCAATCATAACGCGAGATTTATAACAGTTATTTTATGATGATCCATACCAGCAGATCTCGTGGCATTGCAGAAACGTAGATTAAAGTAACGTATCAGTGTAACGCACGCCCTACTAGTAAATGGTAAGAAATTTCTTACCATTTACTAGAGCGTGCGTTACACTAACGCGTTAAATTTGAATTATAAGCTGCTCTCAAGTTACTTACGTTAATCTGCTATCAAGTTACTGGTAGTACGATTACCCGAAATTCCACATATCAGCTTCTTGTTTCAAATCTCAACACAGGAAACCCAAAGCACATTATTGATTTAATTATTCATGTACAAATTCCAAAGCCGGGCTCCCTGTGATTTGTTGCGAGGTTATCAATTTAACTCACCGCTATGCAAACCAACTCGTAACTGAAGCTTCATCTGAGGTCTGTGACGAATCTTAAAGTGTGTCATCAAGCTGAGAATATCCAGCGCCATTGTAGCTATCTCGCCCGCATGGCGGATACCGTTACGTACGGGAAGTCCCGACACGACCAACAGACAGTCACCAATAGATTCCACCTTGTAGACATCATAGTTAGCGAGGATCTTGTCCAACGCCAGGTATAGGTCATTGAGCAGGGTAACAATCTAGGAGGAATAACAAAAGTTAAGGTAAAAATAGTGCCCTATCCCCATTATTCGGCTCCATAACCCTTAGTCTCCTACGCAGCCGCTATTAATGTGGTCACKCAACGCTCACTCGAGCGTTGCGTGACGACACTATTAGCGGCTGCGTAGGAGACTACATAACCCTTATTTCTTTACCAACCTATTTTCTTCAAATTTGGAGAAGCAAATAAACTATGTGACTTTGAAAAAGGGCTTTCCTGATTTGCTTAGTGTATTTTACCCTTATAAGGGTATATAAATGAATCATAAATGAATCAGGACACTAAGGAACTGACATCTGATCATCTGATCATACATCACTGCAATTTAGCGTGTTAGGTTTTGCGGATGGTGGAAAACCGCAGAAAATCCCTCGAATGAAGGAATACCTAACAAACTCGCGTGATGCCGAGTACAGGAATCAAACCCGAGACCCCAGAGTTGAGAGGTGAATGTACTACTACGTGTGCCACATACGATGCTCACCTTTTCATTTATAACTAAGAACTGTCTGACTTACCTCCATTGGCGTACTGTCGGACGCCAGGTCCATAAATGCCACCACGTCACTAAAGTAGATCGTTACTTCATCAAACAACTCCGGGGTCACTGATTTACCTCTCTTAAGTTGATCGGCAACAGACCTGTTAGAATGACCAAACCACGTTAGTTGCTTGTGTTCAGTAAAACAGATCGAACGGTTTGCTTCTTTGTTTGAGTGTAAAAAATACAATTCACTCCGCCCTTCATAACAGGCTGGGTCACGTGATGATGTTTTTACATACGCGGGCAACATCTTGTAGAGCAGTCTGTCTGTCTTCTTCTTTTCCTCCATTAGTTGTCTTGTTCGTTCTTCCACCAATTCTTCCAGGTTATCTGCATGTCTCTCGATCAAGTTGATCATGTTGTCCATGATGTTCACATCCCTGGAAAACGACAGAATATTTGAACAGCGGTTAGAGCGCATGCAGTAAAACCATGAAATAAAAACAAAGTTGATGCTGACAAATAGTAGCTATTTAGTGAGTAATGGCTGCTATCACTCAAGCAGAATATCATTAAACAAAAGACATGTACAAACGTTCTCTTGTGTATTTGTTGAATATTCTGGTTGAGTGATAGCAACTAGCTACTATTAGAGTGAAGGCATTTAACCCGTGAAATAAAAATTATTAGTCAACGTGTAATAGTCACATAGACACAAAAGAAAACAATGGAATTAGGGTCTACTAAAGTGTATTAGTCTAATATCTATTTCACGGGTTTGGTGACTTCACTCTGCTCACTAWTATATTACTCACATGGTTTTACTGCATGCTCTCCAGTGTACAAATAGTATTATTTTAAGACAGGTATTGTTGAAAGCTGATATTTTTTTCAGCTGTTGTTCTCTGATTTTGGTGACAATGATTACAGTCATAAATCATCATTCATCATGTTTTGCAACCCAATTGATAAGGCAGCCGATAGATCGAATAAGGATTTAGAAGTTGATTTTTGTGGAGAGAGAAAAAACTGAAGAACCTGGAGGAAAAACCCCTGAAGCACAGGAGAGAACCAACAAAGAACAGTGAGCCTGGCAGGACTCGAACCCGGGTCGCAATGGTGAGAGACGACACCCCACCATCAACTCCTCTATATCACCACAATATCATAACTATCGTCATCACTATATGATATACTCAGTAATTAAATACCATGTTCAAAAGTTTACCTGCCCATGACTTTTCTTAGTTTATCCAGAATCTTGCTGAAGTGAGGTCTCTTGTCAGGATCATCATCCCAACACTGCTGCATCAGGGTACGTAATTCTGGTTTACACGCATCAACAGGTACAACAGGTCTAAAGGGAGGGTCCTCGTGTATCGTCACACGTTTCACCACGTCTAAAATAATATTGAAGTGACCACGTTCAGACTTGATTGCAAGGCTTTAGTTGTATGGTACTTCAAGTATGGTACAAACGTGTGGGTCACCAAAATACACAAAATACTACTTATTGGTAGGAAGAAAACAATGTACCATTACGCTGTTCCCACCTTTCGGCAATAATGAGAACATTTTGGTAGAAATGCTAGTCAGTTCACTACTAAACAACATTATAATGAAATCTACAGCACCATATCTACTGATCCTTTTGAGGTTTAATATAAAATCGAAATCTATATTCCAGTGGACCCAGGTATCGTGCTAGAGTCAATATCTCGACCTTGGCCGCCTATTACAATGAATATTTTACAAACATATCTGTCTTCCCTTCCTAAGGGGAGGTCTTCAGTCTCTATATTGAAAACACACAATAATCTACTCGCATAAAGGGAGAAAAACCGTAAAACTTGATTGAAAACTCTCCCAGCAAAGTAGAGAACAACACATCCAACGACCTCTACCCGAATATATCTGGTTATTTGAAAAACGGCCAAACGCCAAATTTGAGGTAAGGCCACGGGCGGGATACCAGGTCCATACGACCCATGTGACTTCAGCCGAGCATCCTCATTGAGAATCTTAGGCTCAGGTCGAACGTTGAACCTCTTATGAGCCGAACCTAATTCAAACGATGGATAACAAGGCGGTCTTCTTTGATGTCATTAGGTTCAGCTCATGTGAAGTTCGACGTTTGGTCTTAGTCTTTTTCTCAAAAATATGACACTTGGTTTAGAATAGGAAAACATTACGCCCAAGCAAAATAGACCTATTTACCTTGGGCGTGATGTGTTCCCATTTCAGACTATGTGTCATTCTCTATAGAATCATTTCTTTGTTTAACGGTTGCGCGCATGGGAAGATCGACCCATGAATATGGATACAACTCAAACGAAGAATCGTATTTTCAAGAGAATGACACTTGGTTTGAAATGGGAATAATCATAATACCTTTAGTGTTCATGTTAGTACACATGCAGTAGGGAGGAGCCCGCATGGCAATCTCTTGCAGGATAATCCCATAGCTGTAGACGTCACCTTTCTGKGATCCACGGGTGTCCATCTTACCATTGTGAACATGTTCCGGGGCGCACCACAACATATCTGAATAGAATACATTAAATATAAACATCGCATACTCTCTGATCTTTTTATCTACGGTCTCAGTGAACTGAGAAGGAGAAGAGGTAGAAGAAGGAGGAAAAGAGAGAAGAATAAGAGAGAAGAATGATTTTTTACCGKTGTACTCCTGATCCTCTGTTCGCGATGGCAGCCTCTCAAGACTTGATCTTAACTCTCCTAGAYCCCAGTCTCCTATCTTACAAACCCAGCGAGAGTCAATGAGGCAGTTAGAGGACTTGAGCCGACCGTGTACTTGAACAGGACTACTGTGTAGAACCGTCATGCCCTAAACATGTTCATACCATACGATATTCAATAGAAGTAACTTTAAAAAGGTCAAATACCAAGGCCAAGTTCAAACGCAATATATATCATTCTTATACCCACCGGGGGGGAGGGGGGTACTCCCATATATGGACCAATACGGGGATGATCCGCTGAACAGGGTATGGTTTTTCGAGCTTCTT